GGGCCCCCGGCCGCCTCCCCGGGGGCCGGGGTGCTCATGGGCGCTGGGGACGCAGCGGGCACCTCAGCCAGAGCGGCAGGAGTTTCTGGGTCTCGGCTCTCAGTAGTCGCCTCTAACAAGGGAAGGACAAGCGAGTCACAACATCCAAGAATAGCCGATGGATCCCTCCCTCCTCCTCCGAGATCCAGCTGTCTATGTATGGTCCCAACATTCAGGCATGCCTGGTGCTTCCATTGCGTTACCACAAACTTAGTGGGAATCCCCAGGGTGTGGGCTGACTGCTGGGGAATGAGGAATACTTTTTCAGGATTCAGACTTCGTGCCCCTCCCCCACCACACCCCCAGTCTCAGAGGCCACAGTCATCAACTTTAAAAAGTAAGATTTCTGATGCTGAAGGGATAGGCACTTCTTCCCCACTACCTACGTTGTCTCCTGCCACTCCACATCCAGGTCCAGCCCCAGAAGTTAAAATGACTAGCTAGGATTCCACCTATCCCTCGTGACTCACCCAGGCAGGACAGAAGCGGTCAGCTCTGTAGCTGCAGGCCTGTGGCCAACAACTCCTAGTTCTTGGCCCCTGGGTGCCCTGATGCTCATTCCTCCACCTCCAGCACAGATAGCAAGGCCTTCCACTGTGCCAGAGGAATAGCCATGCAAGGCCACACTCACCCTCGTGGGGCACGCAGTACACAGGGCCTTCATCTGTGGTGTCAAAGGATGAGAAGGAAGCCCTGGAGGACCATGATGGAGAGGGCTGCTCCAGCCCTGAAGGCGGTTCCAGGAAACTGCAGTTGAGTGTGTTCTCTAGGTCATGATGGGCCACTGAAAAAAGTGAGTGAGGCAGAGTTGCCAAGGGTCCTCCTGCCTTTTCCCCATCTGTATCTTTAATTAGCCAAATGTGAACGGAGTGGTCATGATCAGCCCTTACAGAAAGCTGCAGGTGGGACAGGAAGTTCAACTGAGTCATATTAGGTCTGGGCTGAAGAATGGGTAGCAAGCAAACCCAGTAAAGAGAAACATGAAGGAAGCCGGGTATGGTAGTGCATGCTGTAACCCCAGCACCTGAAAATCTGAGGAAGGATGGCCACTGTGAGCCTGATGCCTGACTCAAAAACAAAGGAAAAGAAACAGAGAAATGGCTAAGAGCACTGGCTGCTCTTCCAAAGGATCGGGATTCCATTCCCAGGACCCTCGTGGGTTACCATCTGTAACTCCAGTTCCAAAGAATATGATGCCCCCTTCTGGCCTCCACAGGCACCAGGTACACAAGTGGTGCACACCCACATGAAGGCAAAACACCTTACACATAAAAAGTAAAAGAATTTTAAAAGATAGTTAAAAAATAAAGAATTAGGGAAAGATGCCAGCCAAGTGCAGCCAACTGGAAGAGTAGACGAGTGTGAGGAATGCACAGAGACTCTAGCACATGTGGCCACCAGGCTCTCCCACCAACTCCAGACTCTGCCTGGTGGGTCTTGGGGAACCCTGGAGCACTTCAGAGTCCAAATGTGCCGGGGCGAGACAACTGCTGGGCTCAGACTTCCCATCAGCCTTGTGTGATACCCAGGCTCTGTCTGCCCTGATACCTTGCTAGGTCGAACCAAAGCACTGTCCAGCTGTTCCCTTTACCTCCTAAGAGACTGAAAGGTTCCAGTCTTCAGACAGAAGTTGCCTGAAGGAAGGGGCCACCGAATTGCCTGCCATCACACTGAACATCTACTAGAGACTCTGTAGGGGACCAGCCTGCCTTTTCCCAGAAAGGACTCCAGTAACTGCTGGAAACCAAACTGTTGGGTGTGCTTTATCATGGGGTTCACCACACAAATACACGCACCCCACATACGTGTGTGTGTGTGTGTGTGTGTGTGTGTGTGTGTGTGTGTATACAAGTTCTCCTGCAGCTCTGCATATCAATGTAGGGTAGAGACCTATAGGTCAGGTGACCTGCCACACAATCCCTCATGGATTTCCATGTCTCCTGCATACCCCCCCCAATATCTGCCCACACATCTTGCACTCCTTCCTTCCCCCTGCAGCCTCGCTCACAGCAACATCCTCCCCTCCTTTCCCCCAGTCGCACCTCTCCACTCCCACACATCGCAACTCCAGGCGCCCCATTCTCTATTGGGTCGTAACCCTTTACATCACTTTCTAGAAACCTCCTGTAGTGGGTTACCCCTGAGTCCCAGAGCCCACATTCTCACCTA